AATTAAAAGAAAACCCTATATTGTTTGAAGAAAGCAAAAAAAATTAAGAGGAACAATACTTTAAAATCTGTGTCAGAAAAAGATTTAACAGAAAAATAGTGATTAAATGTACTTAAATTTCTAGAAATTGATAGAACAAGCCGTTTGTGCCCAGGGAAAAAAGAAACAATAACAAGAAGAAAAGAGAAAAAACAAAAACGTTATTTGGATGACAGTATGTTTAACTTGCATAAAATGTTCATAAAAGAGTACCCTCAACACTCAACTTTCACGTGGAGTCTGAATTTTTATTTTAATAGTCTTTACATTTTAATTTATTAATATTCAGTAAGAGTTGCTTAAATAATTTTACATCTAGGTTAAAAATGGATGTTTCCTTTCATAGCAGCATGATTAATCGGAAGTAGCTCTATCTCTAGTAATGAAATATTTTATTATTTACTTATTAATGTTAAACTCATATCAGTTGTACCCAATAATTAATAAATTAGTCTTCATTGACATTTTATATTTTATAACATAAAATGTCTCCTCCGTTGACTATTACATCTCCTCCGTGGGCAAGACAGCATTTGAAATATTTTAAATCTTGTAAAAAATAAAATAGAAAACTTGACCATTATTATAAGGACATATAACAAAAATAAATAAAGGTATTTATGTAATTTTTATCACTTTTTTAATTACTTTAATTTAAGAAAATTTTTTTAGTCTATTTATACCTTTTCAGTGACCCATATGTTTTTTTATGGACACGCACTTATTTTTAAACACAGCTAGAAATAGTTTCGAAAAATAATGTGTGTAAGTCCATAAAAACCATTATGTTAATTATAAATACTTGTTTAATGTTTCATATCAGGAGAAAACCACGTTCACATTTATTGGCGAGAAGATGATGTCTTACAAAAATAATGCGTTTGTTTTTTAAACTGAATAATGGTATAATGTTAACACTATTGTTGAAGTTGATTTCGGATAATTTCGGGCGAAATTAGGAAAGTTAAACATCTTAATATTTTTAGAAAGCTGAACATCAAATTTTGAGATTTGTGTTTAAATATTTTGCCGCTAGTATTGTGACTTGAAGTGAGGTAAATATAGATAAGTTAAAAGATTTATAGTTCAACACTGAACATACCATAACCGGTCAAATGACCGTTTAAGAACTTTTGCATCGAAACTGCGCCTTATCATCTTATCGTTTTTGCACATTGGACTTCATCACTTTTTTTTAAGAATTGTATACAGTTAATATTCTATTATTATTATTATTATTATTTTCTTTTGAATAATACCTGTCGTATACCTATTTCTATCACAACCGGTCATTGAACGGGGAGAACAATTTATTGCGTTATAAGGTTATCCGATCAGAAATTACTACGTAATGCATTTTCAACGTATAGTATTCGATTAATTGCACATTTCTGCAAAGACTGCTGCGTAGTTAGTTCAATCAGAATAACTGTGAATTTAAATTTCAAGCAAGTACCGAAAATTTTAGATTGGCATATTTGTGTAAGAAAAAGTAACAAAAACTAAATGTTTTGGTAAGTAGCTTATATTTTATTTTGATAGCTTTACTTCATTTCTAACTAACTGTTAGTTTTGTCCAGAAAAATGTCGAAACAATCAAGACAACACAAGTTCTTAGAGGAATTACTATTAATTATAAGAATAATAATTCTTTTATATTCTTATAATTATAAGAATAATTATAAGAATTATAGAAATAATAACAATTATAAGAAATATATTTATGGAAAATGTACAATGAATTAAAAATTCTTTTTCTTTGTATTTGTAATACAAAAAAATTGATAATATACAATTTTTGTCTAATTATAATAAAGTTTTGTTAGCTTATTTCCTTCCTAGCATCCATATTTCATACATTCAATCACGAAACATAAAGTCATATGGTGGAAATAGGTACATATTAAGTGTTGGTATGTTAAAACACTTAAAGCACAAATAAATCAAACTACTTTTAATTTAAATGCATACCTTGTTATGTTTCTTTTCTCTGAATACAAGTTTGTTTTCACTTCCAAAGAAATTTTGCAATAAAATTTCAAATCTTTTACTCAATATACATAAACGTTCAAAAAGAGTGATCCTCATTAATATTCCAAAACATTAGCTGAAAGTTATTTATGAGAAAAACGATTTCTCAAATGCAATCAAAGCAGAATTCTATTTTATTACCACGTTTATATGAACTTCCCTTCGTGTATGTCTGTCCGGGTGGAATTTTGTAATCGATTTTAAACTAACTTCCCGACTAGCTACAAACTTCAAATTTGGCACATAGTTCAGAATTGGATGACAATGCATGAAAATGAAGAGAAAAAAGACATACAAAGTAAAATAAAATTAAAATTTAAAAAAAAAATTATTTTCGAGATTGTCTTTTGTTGTCGATTCCATTATTTCAAATTAGTAC